CAATATAAATATTTCCTCCAATTAATTTGATAGCATCCAACTTTATTCTTTTATTTAGTGTTTATATTTTAATCTTATCTCTAGGTTCTAATATTTCATGAGTTAACACACATTTAAATCTAAACGATTGCATTTTCTTTGATTAGTTTAATGAGGATCGTAGAGATTTAATTGGTGAAGATGTACTTTATTATAATGGTGTTTGTTCAATTTAATCAGATTGATTATCATCTAATGAATCTGATTCTTTTGGCTATAATTTTGCACTATACTCCCTTCCAAAATGAGATAGACTCTTTCTTTTGATATGGTTGTCAATCATAGGCAGTAAATTTCTAACTTCTTAAGGATCTACTCTTGGTGAATAAGAGATTGTCCGATGTTCGATTAAACAGTCATCAGTTGAATTACTTCTCTTTTAATTCATTGATCGTTTCTTAGCCAATTCTTGTCTAGTATTCAAACATATATAATTACTTAAATCTCTATCTACAAATGTAAGCACGATAAGCTGTCTAAATTTTTATCACCATTTAATGATTGTGCTGCAATAAAGTAACAATATTGTTCTATATTGTTACTTATTACAACGGTTCTTGTCTTTACACACATTAATTGCATGAACCCATATTAATATAATTTATTATAACTAATTAATTTACATCCTTAGCGTACACTTTTATCTTATTTAAATGTTATATCAATTTTCACTTTAATTTATTTAATATCTTTCATATTATAATTGTATTATTACTTAATATTAATGAAACGATCATTAAATCGTTTTAATTAATCAAATCAAACTTTATCCCAATTAATACACAAAATAAGCTTCCAAATTTTTATTTTCAAATTACTACTCTAAATATCTTTATTTTATAATCAAACATTTTCCAATATACTTAATCTCTATAATTATCATTAATAATAATATGATTCCATTAAACTCTAAGTTATTATTCTTGAATATTAATAAAAAGATTAAATAGTATGTTGCTGGAAATTATTAACAAAAGAGATTTAAATTAATAATAATTAAAATTAATGTAACAGGAAAGCATATATAATTTAATTCCTAAAGAATATGTACCTCCATCCAAAGAACCAATGTATAGATCTGCATATCCAAATGGTTTAGTACCTACTGCAAGCACCTTCAATAATCATACCACAAGTCGACCTAAAGTTAATATATATATTTCTATTTAAGGTCAATAATATTAATGGTGATTTCGAATTAGTCAAAGGACCTCATACTCATAAAGGATAATCTAATTCTCTAGGAAAAATTAAAGGTAATTTAAATTTTCTATAAGGATCATACAAACCTGATGCTACATTGTTTAGAATGAAGAATACTGGTACAATGGGATCTAATTAATTACCTGAAAGTAATCCATTATATTAAAGTAGTTTAATCATTCAAGTATCCATAATCATGTAAAGCAGCAGTTCCAAAAAAAGATGAAAAACCAATACATGGACTTAAATCAAATAAGAATTTTATTGTTACAAATGCAGTTGAAAATATCCTTTCAGCCCCTAAATAAGTTACAGAAGAGAAGGACTGGACTGAAAAAAAAGATTATGGAAAAGTACCAGATTATTTAACTAAAATCTAAAGCAGTATCAATAATGAATATGAAATCATTCGAAATATGCATATGAATGAAGCAGATGAGAGAGACAAATAAAAATATTTAATGACTCTTGAAGAAGTAGAGCGTTTAAAGTTAGGATTGAAAAAGAAATGGGAATCTGTAAATAAAGAGTATTAAACTATTACACATATAAGAATGATAGACACTGTAGGATTAAAAAGAAAGTATATATTAAATTCTATTTTATTAGAAAGGAGTAATGTGAGAAAGAATTAGCTTTGTTAGAGAAAGATATAGAAAAATTAAATAAAAACTATGTTTTTATAGACACATAGAAATGATTATTTTTTTATATAAATATACATATAAGTAATCTATTTCATATTTTATTAATTTATGTATTAAATATTCTAAATCAATTGTTTTATTAATGATAACTGTCTAATGAAATGTAATTATGATATTGAAATGTTTAAGTTATTGATGGAAATGGAAATGATGGCAATCTTGAATTTAATTTGAATAAATTCAAGCCTGATTATGTGGGATCTAAAAAATTAAAGATATAGGATTAAAAAGAAAAAATATTAAATCTGTAATAGGAAAATAGAAGGAAGAAGCTGCAATAGAGAAAAAAGAAGAAGATAAAAAAAATTATTTGCTAAATTATCATAAACGTAGAAGCCTACTTTAGTAAAAGATAAAAGTTAGATGAAATTGTAAAGAAAATTAATAATCCAATAATCTCTTGTTTGATAAAGATAATTTTTGATTATTCTTTGTCTTAAATTCATAATGAAAATAATTCATAATTGTGAATATTAAGAATTTTACTTGTTTATTTAAGATCTATAAACTTATATTATTATTATTATTTAATTATTATTATCTAAAATTATATTATTTAAGAAAGGATTTTTTATTAATAAAAAAATAAAAACGAAACAAATATTTGGTTCTAATTTTCTTCTATATTTGTTTTTTTAAAAAGCTACTTTTGAATTATAAACTCTAATTACATATTTATAAATAATATTAGAAAACTGAAATATGAAAATAGAGAAATGAAGTTTTTTATTCTTATTTTTTATTAGGTATTATAAATACAATAATAATCAAAAATTTAGTATCAAAATAATTTTTATTCAGATTAAAATTGAGCATAATCGAATGATTCAAGCTAAATAAAAAATTCAAAAGAGAGTTCAAAAATATTCTTACTTCCTTAATGACATCTTAGGAGAAGGTTATTCATCATCAGTTTATAAGGGTATTAATATTTATACCAATCAAATCGTTGCTATAAAGGTTATAAATTTTTCCACCTTAACTACTCCTATTTCTCAAACCCTTTTGAAAAATGAGATCACTATTTTAAAACAATTAGATCATGAGAATTTAATGAAAGTTTACGAGATTTTCGAGACTAAAAATAACACTTACATAATATGTGAATATTGTAATGAAGGTGATCTAGCTAATATATTAGAAAAAACCAATTTTACCTAAACAGAAATTATTAATATTTTTCTTCAAGTAGCTAAAGGTGTAAAAGCTCTACATGATTAAAGTAAATCCTAATTCATTTATAATTTTTAGAAATTATCCATAGAGATATAAAACCAGCCAATATATTGATATCTAATGGAATTTACAAGCTTTCTGATTTTGGTTTTGCCATTGTTGAAAATGATTTTGAGAGTATAATAAAAAGATTTAGCGTTGGAACTCCAGTTTATATGGCACCTGAAACAGTTCAGTCAAATTCTTATTCTGAAAAATCAGATATCTGGTCATTGGGTATAGTTCTTTACTTAATGATATACAAGGAAATACCTTATAATCTTAAAAAGGATGGAGATCTATATGGAAAATAATAGTAAATACATTCTAAAATTATGAATGACAAATCATTAATGAAAAAAATCTAGAATGTTCTAATAGGTATGTTAGAGTTGGATCCATAAAAAAGAATTAGTATAGATGGAATACTGTTAATTTTAAATCAACAGAAAAAATTGAAATGCCAAAATTCTCATTAGAATATACCATGTAAAGTCTTACGTAGAGTAAGTGGATATGATTAAATTTTAAATGATGGTTCTGATAATTATAATAATGGAAATTCACAAAAAATATTGAAAACATTGCCAGATGAATTGGATTGTATAGATGAGAAAACGGAACCAATATCATTTCATAATATTCATTAATAACCTACATTTGAATTTAATAGTCTATAATAAAATCAATTGTCTAATAATGAATGTTAAGAGACTAAACTTGATTCATCACCAATATAAACTAAAGATAAATAAAAAAAGTAAATTAGAATAAATATTCCAACAATTTAGTCAACTTATATCAAAAAGTTGAATTCTAATTAAAATTAATTACCATCTGAACATAGTGATACAAACTAACATAGTAATCCTAATAGTACTAATGATACAATCAAAAATATTCAGTTTTCAAATTGTTAATCATAAAATCAAATCAATTCTAATTCACCATTATTTGCACCTAAAACAAATGAAACACTTACAAGCAGAGATTAAGGAATTTCTCCTATAAATATTAATTAATCACTTAGAAATTTAATTGTTTCTCCATTAAGATAAAGAAAGGGTCCTACAACTTGTTCATTATCAGATTTCAAGAATTTTTAATTAAAATCAAATTAATTATAATAAAAAAGAAGTGATTTTATAAAATAAAGAGCTAAGACCGATTTATCTCTTAATAAGTTTACTGATATAGAAAAGAAGAAATAAGAAAATGAAAAAGAAAAAGAAATTCCTGCCATTGAATCATTGGCTGCTACTATTAGACCAACATATAGATTTTTAATATTTTTAAATTCAGTTTTAAAAAAGTTTGACTCAATAAATACAGAGGATAAATAGAAATGCTATTTCCTATTAAGAAAATTATTAGCAGTAAAAGCTTGTGCAATAAAAAGTTATTGTCCAAATCAAATTTAAGAAGAATTATAACGTTGGATTGATAGTTTTGAATAATATTTTGAAAAAGTTAGACCTGTGTTTTATAATCATCATGATAGAAAGTTTAGTCAATATTTTAATAATAATTTGGATTAATTTACCAAAGGATTTTCATAATAATTATATAATTATCTATAAATAGTAAATTAGTAGTTATTATTAAAAGATCTATTAATAATTTAAGATGTAATCAATGAAAACCTTAAATAATTCAATGATCCTATATTATTTGCTAGAAGATGGGAAAATGATCAATAATGAGTTTTTCTTAGTGTATAGTTTTTTAATAAATTTATATAAAATGAATATAATTCTATCAATTATGAATAAAGGAGATTTTATTTAATTTTATTCTCCATTAATTAAATTAATTAAAATTCTTTATAATATTAAATCAACTAAAATCTCTATCTGGGAAAATATGTGGTGCAATCAAAGTCCAAATGTAGAGTAAAGCAGCTAACCAAGATGTGACCATTTTGACCTATAAAGTATAATAATTGATTACCCAATAAGCTAATTTGTTTGGTTAATATGCTTCAAAAGAATTCTCATTAAAATTTGGTTCACTCCAATTTGTCAATAATATCATCATATAAATAATAGTGATAAACATAATAAAATGAAACATTAAATATTAATTTGTAGTGTAAGGTAACATTTCTGCTTATTTTACTAATTCTTTGGCTTCTTCTAGTTTTTATTATTATTATTATTATTATAATAATTATTATTCTTCATCTTAATTTGCTTCTCTTTATTGATTTTCTAATTTCTCATCTTTAGATTCTAATTATACAAGATTAATTGAAGATGAATTTGATGTTCCAAAAGTTAGATAAAGGAGTGAAACAATAGTTAATAATATGCCAACAACAATTTCTATTATCCTGGTTCCTTCTGATTTAGATAATGAATTGCATTAACTTTCAGGCCATGAAGATTAAGCTTAATAAGCTTGAAATACTATATATATAGCCATGGCTCCTGATGTAAGTAAGGATCCTTATGGATTCCATCCTAATAATTAAACACCAGTAGCTCCTACAATTAAAATGATTGTAAAAATGTTCATAAAAATATTTGTCCCACATCCAGAAAACCAGATAAAATTAAAAATATTTAATGTTAAGGCTCCTCCATATAAAATTGCTGTTGTGATGATTAATATATATTTCATATATTCTCCTCCATTATCATATATGCTAATCCAACTTTGACCCCATAAATAAAATACATCAATCAACATAATAATTTAAAAAACCATAAAGAGTCCACTTATAACAATTGCAAAATACACATATCCTTTGAAAAATGAATTATGAATGAATAAAGTTCCAAAGAAAAATATTGCAATGAACCTAAATTAATATAAGAAATACAAAAATTTGAGAGGCCATAAACTTTCATTTGCAATTTTGGCTATTTCTCCTCTTATCAACATAAAGATCATTAAAAATATATACATCCACATTAAAACAAAACAAATCCTATATATACTTGACACCCCTAAACATTATGAATTATCATCTGTGGGACATTATATAAATTTTAAATAGTTATCAAACAAACCTTATAAAAAATAGCAAAATATCATGGTAACAAAGATTGTTGTATAATTAAGTAATATATAAGCCAACTTAATCTATTCTTTAAAAGTTGAACCACAACAACTCTTACAACAACAGCATATTGTTTTACAACAAACCATTCCTGTACAACATAAGGCATCCATAGTAGCAGTGAGACACATTAATCTATAAAAATTATAAAATATTATATATTGTTTAAATATTCCATATTAAAGTGTATCAGAAATTGTAAAAAATAGTATTTCTTAATTTTATTAACTTTGTATTTTGAATTTTTATTATTTCTGTAAAAGTTAATCATTTTAAGAAAGATTAAAATTTAAGGTTGAAATCAATCTGATTTTGAAATACAATTTTAATAATTCTTCATAACTTTTTAATTCAAAACTAGTATTTATTTTAATCTATTTTGTTATTGACATTTATTTTGATATATTAAATCTATATAATATATTTTCAATAACACTAAAAGTAAATGGAATTAAGTAATATTATTTGTTAAATAAAATTTAGATATTAATCTTTTTAATTATATATATATATAAATAATTTTATATAAATGGGGAATTGTTTAGCTAGTCGCAAGGATCCAGTACCATTAGCTTTTGATTAAGCTGAATATTAAGCACTTAATAACTAGTTCCACTATTATTGTGAATTAAGCAGCTAGTAATTTAAAAGTATATTTAAGAACACGAGATGCAAAAGGATTGAACTAAAAATCATTTGAAGATATTTTCTGTGAAAATCCATCTTTTGGAATTAAATTATTCAAATTTTTAGAAGCATATTCTGGATCTCAGGGATTGATTAAGAAAGAACCTTTGTTTGAATTTTGTAATATACTATCTAATAAAAAGTGGAATTATTGGTGAAAGATGTCCAAACTAATATACAAACATTTAAGAACCTAGAGAGATTTGAATTAATGTCATTAATTTCATTATAAGATTCTAAATTTTTAGCAACCAAAGAGGAATTAGCATAATTGCAATTGACATATTTAGATACTATTGGAGTGATTAAAGTAATGCAATCTTATAAATAAGGATTTAATTAAAATGCATTAAATAGGTAAAAAAGCAGTATCTACTAATGAGAGATATATTAAGACTTTGGTTGATATGTTATATAGTAATAATATAAAATATTATATTAGAAAATGAAGCAGGTTCTTTATCTTGGGTTAATTTAGTAGAATTTGTTACAAAATAAATGCCAGGAACTAAAGAAACAATTAAACTCTATTTTTAGGCAAAATTTATGGGAAAATAAATTAATGTAAAAATTATAAAATAAAAATAGAATTTTATTCCTGTTGTAAATACACCATCTTATTTCTTAACTGATGAATTATGTTTCTAATTATCACTTAGTACAAATTCAGTCTTAAAAAATTGTTCATAATTAACTTTACTTTATTCCAATATTGCTCATTAGGGTGGATTTAATTAAATGGTATAGGCTATGATAAGTATTATATAATTAAATATATTATTTAGATAGTAAATTACCTACATTATTATTGGTTTAACATGAAGAAATTTATGATTAAAAAATTAAATAATAGAATTTTGGTGCTATTACTAATTTGAGATGGTATGACACTTAATAATATTTTGGAACTAAAGATGATTGTATTTTTAGTCTCTATCCATATTATAAGATATTTAAATCAAAAAAAGGAGAATATAATTATTGTTATTTAGATTCCTAAAAAGGTTTTGGATTTGGAGGCAAGAATGCTGAAGGATTCAGAATTTGGATTGATAAAAACATTGAAAATTCATATTGTAATCAATTTGATGATACCTATGAGAATGGTCCAATCGTACTTCCTTATGTTAAAAAGCTCAAAATCAAAATTATTGAAATTTGGGCTATCTAACATCCTGCTGATGATTTAGATGATAATACAGAAGTCATAGTAGACTTAAAAGATCCTCTCCTTTAATAACCTGGTGAAGTATAATTTCCAGATTCTAATGCAGATTATTATTGGGTTAGTTAGGATTAAAAAATTGATGAAAAGAATTCAGGATATTATTGGGAAGTTTAAGATGGGACAAAATGATTAATAATAATAATCATATTAATAATACATTTTGATATATATTTAATTATAGACTATATATTCCAAAAAGAATATTAAGATAATAAATATTAAAGATATTAAATTTATAAAATGATTACCATTTAATTTATTAAAATTTAAGTGATTAATTATTCTCATCAAAATTGTTGAATTAAATATTATTTAGAAACTAGATTCTAAAACATAATTATAATTGAATTACAAATTAACCAATCAAATTTTAAAGAATAAAATAAATCAAAATATATAAAATATGATAAAATTATTCTATAAAAGTACTTATTATAATATAATAGCATTCAAAATTAAAAATTATCATTACAATAAGAATAAATTTCCTTTCATTTATTGCAATCGAGTAAAGAGAGTTCATAAACAATATTTTAAGTAGTTGTTTATAATGAATTTACCAATGTGCTGCTTTCATCATATAGATCCTTTTAAATTTAGTTCCAATGATCATCAGCTTAATTTAATTCTTCTAAAATATTAGCTAAGTTAGTATTTTCAGATTCAAATTATTGACACTTCTTTATAGAATTCACAAGTTTTTCTACAGGGTATGTTTTAAATTCTGCCATAGGTAATTTTAAAACTTTCTCAGCTTAGTGAAGTCGATATTTAAGATCTGATACTTCATAATGTTGCTTTTCATTAATAAGTTACTCTAGAGAATCCAATGCCATACGAGTTGGTTTATTTATTTCAATCTAATTAAGGTATATGTTCTTAACTTCATTAATACATAAAATTAATTGTTTTGCTTTTGTTTATTACAGTTTTTTTTCTAAGTAATTGATTTGTTCAAGTAATGCTTTTTTTTCTTATTAATGAATTTTATCTATTTCATCTATGATTTTCATCAACTATGCGTTTGAAAATTCAACTTAAACAGATGCATCTTGTATATTTTTTGTTTAATAAGGGTTTGTTTTTGTTGAAGTTAATTCATTCTAATATTATTCAGATGAATTATGATTTATTTGATTAATCATAAATTTTATTATATTTTAGAAATGCAAATTAGAATAAAGTCAAGTACATACTTGAAATAAATTGTATATTTACAATATTAAAATTGAAATACAATATTTTAAGTGTTTGTTTCAATTATACAAACATATAATGATAACATATTAGTATTGCATATGATAAAACTTTAAAGAAATTTAATAAAATTAATAGATAATAATACAAAAGGAAGGACATATGATAAAATAAATTGATTCATTATTATCTAAAAATAATTTTATTTGAATTTTCTTTAATCCTTATCAGATATCATCATTCATCATAATATTTAATATTATCCAAATATTTCATCTACTTTATTATCAAATTATCTATATAGTTTAAATTATTTATTGAAAATACTTTTAATTCTATTGTTTTCAAAAATACAGATTAATAAATAATAATATATCTAAGAGTATAAAAATTGTAATCTAATGATAAAAAGGAAAGCAATAATTATTGTTTATTATTTTAATAAAATAAAACATTTATTAAAGAAGGATGAAATCCCATTTGAAAATGGATGTTATTAAAAGGAAAAACAATTTATTATAAATGTAAAATATATTAAATATTAATGCAAATTTGAATATTTTAAAATAAGAAAATGGAGAAATAATCTGTTTGAATTAAAGATTTATATAAAGTTGATAATAAAATTCTTTTGTAATTGATATTTCCTGTGAAATAAACTTATATGTTTCTTACTTTTTAAATACTTAATTTATAAGGTCGAATATGTTCAATATAAGATTAATTCATAATAATTGAAATTATAGAAATTAAAACATGGGTGCAACTTGTTGTAAATCAAATTTACAGACCTAAGATGGTAATACTTATATATATAATTTGTTATAGAACTATCTGTGCAATCAGCAGCTTTTGGTGATAATGAATAAAGTTCTTAGAAAAGAGTTGTTAAACAAACAACTGCCAATAAACGTCAAGCATATACACCAGCATAGACTTTTGGTTTGGGATTGAAATAAAACCTATCTGAGGAAGGGAAAGAAGTTTATGATGAGCCAAAGAAGGTTTCTATGGTAGTGTCAAAAGAGTTAGAATAATTATTAGAGCGATAAAATTCAGATACAGATAGAAAGAAAATATTAGAATAGTAATCAGCATAAAGTATAATATATAGCGATTATATTAGAAAAAGAACATAAATTAAATGTCAATATAGACATTTTTGTATAATTGAAAAAGGGTTAAATATCTGATCATTATATTACAGGATAAGTTCTAGGGGAAGGAGCATTTGGAAAAGTATGGAAAGTTACACATAAAAAATCAAAATTGGATAGAGCAATGAAACAACTAAAAAAAAGTTCAATTTTAAAAGAAGATAAAGAGAAATTGTTTTCAGAAATGAATATATTAAAGAACTTAGACCATCCAAATATTGTAAAATTGTATGAATTATTCGAAGATGATAAAAATTACTATTTGGTTACGGAGTAAGTACTAAATTGATTGAGGATAGGTATTGTTCTGGTGGAGAATTATTTGATCGTATTAAGAAAATGAACTTTTTTAGTGAAAAAAAAGCAGCAGAATTAATGAGATAAATACTAAGTGCAGTTTGGTATTGTCATAATCAAAAGATTGTACATAGAGATTTAAAACCAGAAAATTTATTATTTGTATCAGATTCACCAGATGCTGATTTAAAAGTTATAGATTTTGGAACATCTCGTAAATTTGAAACAGGAAAAAGAATGACAAAAAGATTAGGAACTCCATATTATATTGCTCCAGAAGTTTTGTTAGAAAATTATAATGAAAAATGTGATGTTTGGTCTTGTGGCATTATTCTTTATATCTTATTATGTGGTTATCCACCATTTTCAGGTAGAAGTGAATCAGATATTTTGAAAAGAGTAAAAGCAGCATAATTAAAATTTGATCCTGAAGATTGGGCTCATATTAGTGAAGATGCTTAAAATCTTATTAAGAATATGTTGAATCCTAATCCAGCCAAAAGAATAAGTTCTGAATAAGCATATAATGATAAATGGATTTAAAATAATGCACCTTCAAATTAAGTCAATTAAAAAGCTTTATAAAATTTATAATAGTTTCATGCAAAGAGTAAATTTAAGTAGGCAGTTTTGACTTTTATGGCTACTTAAATTATAACTCAATAAGAGTAGGATGAATTAAATAAAACATTTTAAGCTATAGATAAGAATGGAGATGGGAAACTATCAAGATAAGAATTAATAGATGGTTATACTTTAGTTACTAATAATAAAGAATTAGCTATTTAATAGGTTGATAGAATAATGGAATTAGTGGACATTAATAGATCCGGAGAAGTAGATTTTACAGGTAATTATTGATTAGTATATATATTTAATAGAATTTTTAATAGCAGCAATGAATTAAGAAAAGTTTTTATCTGTTCAAAAAATGGAATAAGCATTTAAAATAATAGATTTAGATGGGGACAATTATATATCAAAAGCAGAATTATAAAATGTTATGGGTGATGTTGATGATGAGGTATTTAGATGTAATTTAATGAGATTTGGATATAAATATTAAAGGAATGTGATAGTGATAATGATGGTAAAATATCATTGGAAGAATTTTCATCCTTATTGCAATCTAAAGTTTTATGATTTGTAGACATTGCTTAATATTAATTTTTATTATTATATTTATTATAATGATAATGCATTTCATTTTCTCTTTCTTGGTTCAGGAACTGTCGGATTGAGATCAGCCAATTTTTATTTGATATAAATCTATCTTAATGATTCAGCATTCTCATAAGGTGATGATCTTTCAGGACATTCCAAAAAGAACCAAAGAATCTTAAATAAATTTAATTCATACATTTTCCACTTTGCATACTCTTTTTGGAAGATCATCTTTCACACTCTTTTCTTTGAGGCAAGAGACAAAGTTTTTCTCTAACCAATTACATTCATTTCTATTGGATTAGTATATTAATATTACACATCATTAAGTGGTGGACGATATTTGACTTCCATGATATTTATATTAATATTAATTAAAGTCAATCAAATTAACATAAAAACTCTAATTCTCTATACCTTAAACTCTTTTCTATTGCTCTATTATATGCCGACTCTTCAGTTTTTAATCTATTTGACTTCAGATAACTTGTTTTTGTTTGTCTTTTGGATGGAGTAACATTTAGTAAATTATTAATTTGCTAATGATTTGCAATTTATAATGTGAATTTTTTATAGTATTATTATGGAACCAAAGATTGTTTGATTTATATAATCCCTATTTATTCACTTAACTCTTTTAATACTATTGAATATTTTGGAGGTGTATATTTATATTCTTCCAATTTCTATATATTACCATATAACTTCCCAAAGTTTCCTGCAAATTTGGTGTCATCTTATAATTAATTAATAGAAAGGGCAGAGAACACCTTTAACCAAGATTGTTATCAATTGAAGGAGACATTGATTGTATTCATTATCAAGTGCATGAGTACTAAAACCACTATATACAGACATGTTAAATTAATTAATTAAATCACAAATTCAGGAAAGAAGCATGGATGAAGTTATTTCTGTATATTAGACTCATTCTTCTACCTGCCTCATAAGGATTCAGTGTCAATAATTACCTTATATAGGGTATCTTCAACTCAACTTAAATTATGTCTAATTTTCTAATTATTTGATTTAAGCTACTATAGATGCAAATATGAAACACATCATTATTGAAATATATAGCCATAAATAACATTTTATGCTTCATAAAAGCACCCTTATAAAGTAATTGATATTTTATTAATTAACTATCATTATTTTTGTTTAATTTTAGTATTTCTTAATTACTTGGCAATATTTTATATTTCAAATAATTCTCCATTATTTAATTGCATTATTTTTAAATTTATACTTATTTTCCTCTTATATTTAAAGGGATATCTATAGTTTTGCAATTATCATACTCATATATTCTCAATCGTATAGGTTACCAACGAAATGATTACTAGATTTCTTGACATGGAATATAACATAAAAAATTGCATGTTCTATCATTTTAATAAACTAATTCATTCAATGTTGTTTTAAAAGTATTTAAACATATTTAATTTTTATTGATACTCATCTATTTTAAGATCTCTAACCATATCTTTTTCTCAAATATGCTTTTCTACTTTCTTAACAATAATATATCAAATAACCAACATTCTTTATTCAAATTTTCTTCAAAAGAATTTTCTTAAACATTATTCAATTATAAAGTAGATTATCTCATTATATTATTAATACTTGATAGACTTGATGTTGCTGATCTCTTGATACTTTTTTTAGTATCTTTTATTTATTGTATATAAATTTGAGTTCTATTTCTAAATGATTCAGGGGCTTTTATTATTAATGAATAAATCTTTGAAATTTCATTAAATTTCCAATTCCTAAAAAACTATTCCATCACTTCTTTAGGTTATTCTGGAAATATAGAATCTAAAAAATATTTATTCATTATTAAAAAATCTGATCTATGTATTGTATAATAAAATCTTCTGCAATTACTCTAATTATAAAAATATACCTGAAAATAATTTTTTATTAAAGTTACTGTTATAATAAAATAATTTTTATCAATTTTCCTAATTTATTTATATATCACTCTTGAGTAAGATTTTGATCCAATTAAGATATTATTATCACAAAATTAATTTTCTAATATATATTATTTACGAATTTGATTTTGAGTTATAGGCACTAATTATAATCTTGAATATGTTAAAGTTGTTTTTAAAATGAAATATTTACATAATTAATTCATTGTTCTAATGATATCTTCATCAAAAACTTTATAAAGAAATATATGTATTTTACTTTTATTTCCTACAGGCATGATTTTAATTAATAACATTTCTTAAAATAATGTTCCAGTTACAAAAACATATCCTATATCTTCAATTTTACTTTGAATAAAATACTATTTCGTGTTAACTAATTTATCTTAAATTAACAAAAATCTAATATCTTTAGATATTGATTATCTGCTATCATTTTATTATAACTTCCATCCTGTTAGTGTTTTCTTCATCATTGTTTTATAACTAAATAAATATTCTCTCATTTTTCCATCAATCTAAGAAATATGAAACCATTTTTCAGTTTATTAAGAATTTAAACATATTATATGTTTTCTATTATTATTTCTATAGATGAATAATTAGGCTCTTGCAGAATTGTCTCTAATATTTTAATGTAATTTGTTAACATCTGACTAAATTTACAATCTAACCTTTATGAATTTGTAATTATATTAGGTCTATTTAACTAAAAAAAGAGAATTAAAATGCGGAAATAATGTAATGTCCTTACCTGTAATTGTATTTTCATTTGTTCTTGCGATATGCTTGTTCATATCTTCATGAGATAAAATCAATCTAATAGGAAATTTAGGCTTTCTAAGTTGCTCAGGTTCTGCTAACATTAGTTTTCCATCTATATGTTTTAATAGTTTACAATTTCTTATATGAACATTATAGTATACATATGAATTACCAATAATTACTCCAAGTAGGAAGATAATATCTATCAATGGATCTCTTTTATGTTCTTCTATGAGATCTAGGCTATCATCATTCTGACTTTAGCTATCTTCAGACATTTCATTTAACTCTTCTTCTATAAAATCAATAGATTCTTTAGCAAAATAAAGTTACTTATTGTATCTAAATAACTTTAAGTTTTTTTTGATAGATGAATCATCAGTTTCGTCTTTTTTTAATTAAATCTTACAATTAATAATTTATAATTTTGATTATAAAATTTCTTGTAACTTAATTATATCTATAATATATCCAGTTCTACCAACAGAATAATTAATTAGATCCTTCAATTATATATCTAATTCATCTTCCCATTTGTCTTTACAAAAAATTTATTCTAATTTTAATTTATTAGTAAGAGTTAAAAAGTAGAATTATTTTTCAATTTTGATGATTTAAGTTAAAATTAAGTAATTGTCAGAATGTATAGGTTTATATAGTAATTTATTGGATTTTTCATTAAGAAATTCTTCTTTAAAGTAATAATGAGATTCAATTAAGTATTTTTATGGTATTGGATTTGGAGTAGGAAAATAATTAATAGGAGGTACATTTAATTTGAATTCAGGAAAAAATCTTTTTAGATAATCTTGAGTTTCAAGTGAAAATATTTCAGTCAATTCTGCTTAAACATCATATTATTATTAATAAGAAATTCTAGGATTTGGTTTTAATGATTATTATTATCTAAATTTAGAATTAGGAGTATCATTAGAATTCTATCTAGATAGTTTTTCATTATCCTTAATATAGTCAATTTGTTTAATACTTTTAATTGGGGATACAGTTCTATTATCTTCAAATTATGGTGTATTATTATCATTTATATAAGTTTATTAACTATCATCAGCTATGAAAAGATGTTTATCTTTAATTCTTTTACGATATCTTTTTGCTAATTCTTTTGATTATTTTTACTCTTTATATTATAAAGATATATCTCTATAGTAAAAATATGATTTCATTCTCTAAATCTTTTATTAATAAATTTAATTATTGTATTTTTAAATAGAGTTTTAAAGATCTTAAGTTTCTGATTTAAACTTAAATCCATTTATAGTTTTAACATAACTCTTTCTTTTTATAAGAAATAAGATCTTTGATAATAAATCTTAATAATAATCTATTTTTTATGTATCATGTCCTTTAATATTTTCTTTATTAATTACTACATATAGAGTATATTATCGATGTTATTCTTTCCATTCATTTAATAAATTTTCTTAGATAAAGTATATATTAGTTAATTAATTGAATAATTCCAACATATTATCATAATTTGAAATTTCTTTGTAATGTTATGCTAAAGAATCAATTATAAATCTAACTTAAAATTTTCTAATGTTATTAGATAATTCTATTGATGCTATCACTTAAAGTGTTGAAGTTTTCTTTTAATTTGATAACATTGCTTAAATTAATTCAACACTTAATTGTTGATATAATTTTTTACCTTATGTTTTCTAAAATATTTATCCTCTAAATTTTGGATTCTATAATATCCATTTAGAAGTTTCATGATCAGTAAATAATTTATTATAAAAATGAATAGAATACCAATCTAATTAATTATCAGGAGTTATTAATTTATGTATAATCTTACTAGCTTCATTTTCTAATATTTTTTTTTCAACAATCTCCAAGATCTCAAATCCATATGTGCTTGATCTAGTCATATTTTTATTATGTGGATTTAATCTTCCTGGAGAAATGACATTTTATTTTGATTCAATTTCATTTCTCTTTTTTCTGGAATAATATACATTATGTTTCATTTTAGCTTTGATTCTATCAACAGCTTCTAATAATACTTCCATTGAATGAGTTTCTAAATATTTTGCAATAATTGGATCTGAATGTGTCATAACTTTTATAGGTTCTTCTTCAAATGAATATTTTCTATTATCTTCTTATTATTATTTAATATTTTCATCATCATTTTCACTAGTTAAATTAATACCACTACCAACTAATCTAATATTACTTAATGTAGGTTAAATTTCATTTGTTGTTATTTTCTTTTAAGAACTTCTCTCAATCTTTTAATTACTAGGATTACTAGGAAACTTTTTACTGTCTACCTTATAAGCAATATTATTTTTTGATGGTTCTCTTATTTATGGTCTTTATGAATGAGATGGAGGGATTAATTAAATTAAATAATTGGATGAGAATTATTTTGTATTTCTTTATTTTGTAGCATTCACTATTTCATATTTCTTTACTTCTTCATAATGTGGTCTATTAATTATAAGATCATTAATTCTATCTTAAGGTTAAGCAATTTCTAATTATTTTATTAAACTTTATTCTAAAGATGGAACTCTATTTTAAATTTTACTATTATTTTTCTTAGAAACTATTGATTAACATCTAGTTGGACTTGTTATTTTTGTAGTTCCTTATGAACTCAAAGGTCTTTTCATAGTATTCTTTATGATAAATAGTTGTTAAAATTACTATTCATTAAATTTAGGTGGAGCTCTCTAACTAATAATAGGTTTCTCAATTTTTGTCTTATCAATCTTTTTTGCTAATTTTGGTGCTCTAGCAGAATCTACATTTATTATATAATTATTAATGTAAGTATTTTTTGATCGAAAAGATAAAATTTTCTTTTCTTCTCTCTAAGTAATTTATATTGGTTGTATATTATCATCCTCCTCTTCATCTTGACTTTAAATCTCTAAATTGACTGAAATTTTATCACTTAATTATTCATACTATTTTTTATATTCTTATGTTCTCTTATCATGAAAACCAAGCAGCTCTTCACATAAATGATAAGATTAAAAGAAAAGTTATGTTGCCTCTCTATCCTTATTTTATTTCAAATATATCTTTGCTTAAAATGATAAGGCTTATAATAAAATTTGTTGAAACTTATTAGGGAATTCTTTATATAAATAAAAACTAAGTCCTATCTCCTCCATCAAATTTAACAATTATTCATTCAATGGAATAACATTATCTCTTTTACATAATCTACCATTTTCAATTACATGATTAAGAATTTGAATTTAAATCATTATTATATTCCTTTGATTCACCTTTGTTAACGGAATTAATTTCATCAACAAATTGTATGCCTAATTATAATTCTTTGTGAATTCAAAGTACTCTGCATATAACATAAATGACTAATATTTTATAATTAAGTATTCTTCCATATTTAACAAATTTGCTAATTCAACAGCTCTTTAGAGATACTTTTCTCCAGGAAGCTTTTAAGATATCAAGTATTTGCCTGTTTGGTTAAGAATTTCAATAAGCTTTACACGTGTTTCTTAAGTCTTAGAAGAATGCTCTCCAAATTCTGAAAGGGCTTCTAAATAAGATCTCTCTAGTTGAAGAAGTGATACTTTCATGTAAATTAATTTATTTTTATTATAAAAATCAACGCTATATTCTATAAACTATTCATTTTTTTTTAATTTTAATATATCAACAATATAACATATAAAACTTAGAGAAATAACTTAATCTCAAGAAAGCGATATAAAATATTTCACTTATTAAATAATCAAAAAACTCTTACAATTTCTGATATCAATATCAAATAACTTTATTTTTAGCTCAACTTTTTATAATTATATATTTATCTTATGTATCAAAATAAATTGAATTTAATACTTAATTATATAAATCATTTTTCATTTTTGAATTATAAATATGATAAAAAATTGTTGTTTGATTTTTCTAGTGATTTTACTATTAATTAATTCAAAATGCTCTAATTATTTTATATTATTTCATAAATTAATAAGTAAATTAAATAATTAATTAAAAATAAAATAGAATAATACACAATCTTAGATTTATTAACTATGAACTTAAAACAAATACATTTATCTCTTCTTAATGAATTATAGATCATATAACAAATATTTAAAATATAGAGTTACTTATATATTATTTTAAATAATCATTTTACTTTATTTTTAATTTCAAGAATTGTTTCATACTCTTCTTATGAAACAATTTTAGCATTTTTTGGAAAGTAAAATAATTATGATTCTTGTTCTATTAATCGTTCTGCTTCTAATTTAATTCTATTCATTTTATCACTAAATAATTTTTCAATTCATACCCATAAAACATATCATATTAATATGCACAAACAAATCCTAAGGGAATTAAGACTACTACAGGTAAAGGATTCTAAATAAATTAAAAAAGTATACTTTCTTTTTTATTGCTCCTATAATACAAAATGGAAAGATCAAAGAATAAAATGAGGCATACCAATGAAAAAATTCCTTACCTGAGGCAAATTAAATAGCTAATTATGTTTATCTTTATTTGAGCATAAATTCTAATTGTTTTTTTTGCATTTCTTTTTACATTTCTTTTTAGTTTTCTTTCATACTATTTGATATATTTTATCCCATTATTAATATAAAAATTGATAAAATTAATAATAGAATTTTAATTATATAATAGTAAATTAGATTTCTTGAATTCTTATTTATATAAAATTCAAAAATATAAAATTTTAGAATTCAAAACACTATTCCACGAGTAAGATTAACAATAATACAACTTATATTATCTGATTATCTTCTATAAGTGACATTATATTAATATGCTCTTAATACAACTTATTATGCAGCATCTTAAGGATCTTAAAATCCAATCTATTATTCTTTATACATATTTCTAACAAATTCAATTACTCTTTGACTAGGTGATATTTATTAAAAATTCTATTCTGGTTACTCTGCATTTCCAAATCCATCTATAATACCATCACTACATAATAATATAAATTCATCTGTTCTATAATCAATTTTAGTAACTCTAACATCTGGTTTTGGTGTAATAACATTTTTTTTAAATTTCTTTTTTTCACTAAAATCACCAAATGCTCTAGAAACAGCAAGATTTCCAAGTCTACCTCCAATTATTTCACCACCACCTTTTCTTTTTATTCTTGCTTATTCAGCAGGAATATTAGGTTTATGATCTTCTGTTAAATTAATAGCTTCACCTTATCTTGATAATATTGCTCTAGAATCACCACAATTAATACTAACAATATAATCACCTATAATCATTACTACAACAGCTACACATCCAGAATCATTTGCAGCATTTGCTTAAACAACATCAGTTAAAAAATCACTATCAGTTTCTTTAAATGCTGCCCTAATATTTTCAAATAGAAAAGCTAAAAATTTATTTTGATGATCAAATTCTTTTTATTCTTAATTAAAATATTCTCTTATATTATCCATAAGATTTTATGACATATAATTAACACAAGAATTTCCATTATGACCATCAAATATAACATAACATGATACTGGAACTCTACTACTTACTTATAAATCTTATATAATTGTATAATTATCTTCTTATGTTCTTTTAGTTCCAAGATCTTAGAAATAACCATAATTAAATCTTTATACTAATAATTCTATCTTATTCAATTTTATAACATCATCAGGTTAAATCAATCTAGTTTCTTCTTTATTTTATTTATAAAATGTATTATAAGTATCAGTTTTTGAACCCCAAATCCAATACTTTCCTTAAATGAATTTAATTAATAATTCAAAATCAGGATTTTCTTCTAAATCATCAATTTCTTATTTCTTAAGTAAAATATCAGGTGGTTTTTAATATCTTTGTGTTTTTGAACTAATCTTAGCACCTGTCCAACCAAATTATAAAACTATAGTATTTTTTTATTTGTCTAATAAATTAATTTTAAATGCATCATAATTTTAGAGTATTATATCATCTATTTGATTATAAGCTTCTCTTAATTTTATCAATTAATCTTAAGTAGCACTATAAGATTACACTGAACTTATTAATTGATCTATCTTATTTTATTTTAGTTATTTTAAGTTATTAATATTATTTCCAAAGAAAAAGTGCTTTAATCCTTAAAGATCATACATAGAAAGCCATTCTAGAATTTCATTAAATCCTTCTTAAACAGTTTAAATGATATATATTTATTTTCCAATAGTTATTTCCATATTATTTTTTATGAGTGCTGGACAATCATAACGAATTTTTATTAAAGTTGGACCAAAACAAGTAAGATGATATCCATTTTTCTTTTATTCTTCATTATACTTATATTTAATTTTCACATGAGTTCTCTCTAATCCACAATCTTCCATTTGAAGTGTACAACTATCATCACTACCAATAGTTTCACCACTTTCAACTAAATTAAGATATATGAACATTCCTCTATACATTCCCTTAATACATCTTAATACATAATCAGTTCCATTATCTTCAATTTGAGATACACTTATATCTGATTCCATGTTTTTTGTTAAAAGTTAAGCTTTTAATTCTAATTTGTTCTTACTAACTTATTCTATTTTTTAATCTATCTCTGATTCTAATATTTGAGCCATATTAAGATAAAATAATATAATTTTTATTAAATTATATATATATAATATAACTTAGATTATCAATCATATGGTTTAAGGATAAAAAAATATATATATAATATTTTCAATCCCATTAGAGAAATTCTTCATCTTTATTTTCCAAAGTCTTAGGAGCAATTTATTAAAGTTTCGTCTTATGAGAGTCCTCAATCGAAGTATTTACTCTTTTATTATTATGATAATTATTTTCTGGAAAATCTGCATCCATTTAAACATCACTTATTTAAATTGCATTATCAAAATTGTCATTTTTATCAGAATTCATAGCTTTAGCCATATTTTATATTTCATAATATTTTTAGAAGATCATTTCAATTGTAGGACCTAAAAGCTATATTATTCTTTAGTTTTTTTTATTATTATGCTATTATTTCAATCTACTATAAGCATCATAAATTTTAATTAGTCTTTTAGGTTTATGAGATGAATTTTTCATTCTTCTTATTCTGTGTTTTTATCTCCATGAATTTAGTTATTAAAATAATTCAATTCCATTTGCTTCTTCTGTTGGTTAATGTTAATAAGATGGATTTATATTAATAATAGGTTTTGGTGTATAATTAAAAACTCTAATCTAATCTTTTTCCAAAATTATAGATTTCAATTTATCTATTTCTTAAATCTTTTACAAAAGATGAACAATATCAAGATCCTTATCTATTACAGTTTTACATTAATGGATCATCTTTCTAGTGACTTCAATTTATTCACAACAGGTACAACACAAAAATTCATAAAATAAGAAATTGATTCCTAATCTTAGATCATGTCTAGTTGTATGAAAAATTGTTATTAATCTTTGTAAGAAATTTCCCTTATAGTCTTATAATTGTTCCACATACTTTTAATAAGTTAAATTATCAATATAAGGAGCTTCTGTTTATTCTCGTTGTTAAGTTTATTAATTTGAAATAGAAGCATTTGAAAACTTTTAACTATTCCAAGCTTTCATCACCATACTTGTTTTTATGATAGATTTAGTATGATGTTTTAATTTCTTTTATAATTCAGATACTCTATTTATGGATGCTTAAATATAACTTAAAAGTTTATCATAAGAGAACTCAAATTTTCCATTTTTTTTCTTTGGAATATTAAATTAATATAAATGATTTGCTAATGATATTTTTAATCCCATCTCATTATATTATAAAGCAACCAATCCAAAAATAGTAGATATTATTTTTAACATCCCTCCAAAATATGATAAAAATGAATCAAGTGTGTCTGCCGTTTTTTTGGTTTATTCATAATCTTAACTTATTCTAAAGTTCAAGGAAAAAATTGTACTTGGTTAATCATGATATCCCTAAATTACAAATACTTAATACTCTAAATTCTCTATAATTATATAAAGAAAATGACCAAAAATCTTTTTTCTCTTCTTCTTTATATAAACTCAAAATACTATTGTCAGCTATAATTTTATTGTTTTTAAAAAATATATCTGCTTTGCTTTCTTCTTTAAGTGTTGTCTATAAGTAAAAATCAGAATTTAAATAGCGTAGAAGATAGTTGTCTGTGCTATCTCTCATATAAATAGAAGATTGAATTAAAGTTGATAATGATAACAAAATAGATTTATTTTAAGCAAGATAATCTATCTATTCCTTAGTGTAGCATTCTTCTCTATAGCAAATTGAAATCTTTAAAGAGGGATACTAAAAGAATTCAGAATTATATGTGCCTTGTAATTTTAAACTGAAATTTTTAGGAAGACATAAATAGGCTTTTAAATCAGCATATATATCTTGAAAGCCTTCATAATTAACATATTAAAAATGTTCAGCTTGACACTATTCCAATGATATTTTATTCAACACAGTTTTTATACGAGTTCCATTTGCTAATTTAGTGATTTATGTTTAAAACATTCCAATATCATAAGCTATTTTTATATCATTTGGATAATAAATAGAGAAGGGATTATCCAACTTTATGGCAAACATAAAATTAGTGATATTCATTTCTTAATAATCAGGATTCATATTTTGAAGTTATTGTACATCAATCTAAATATACAATTTCAATACTTAGAATTTATCTCTTACTAATAGCCTGATTAATCCTGTGATAAAAATATACATGAGCACTATTGTCATAACAATTGACATTAATCCTCCACAAACACTCTAGTATTGTTTTCTATTTCCAATATTGAAGTTTAAGGAGACTCCAAAGTTATCATAAGATCGTATCATTCTTTTTATATTTTTGATCAATGAGAACATAAATTTATTTTAATCAAATAATTATTGGCTCAACCTTATTTTATGAAAATCTTTATAAACTCATTTTTAAATAATCATTAGAAAATGTCATTATTAATAATCAATCAGATAAAATAGCTACTTAACCTATCAGAATTTAGTTTGTATGTTTATATTTTAAAATAATATATTATCAAAATGAAATATCAATCAATGTTTTTTTTTTGTGTAAATTTAAGCTTTTTGGTTAATATATATTTGTTAAAAGGAAAATTGGCACAAAATTCGCCAATGGTATATAAATTATAATGTAAATAGTCCAATTAAAAGGGTGTTCTTCCAAAGTACCATCTGAATTATGTTGATATTTGAAGTCCTTTAAAACCTCTTAGAAATTTGGTAATATATTTAGAAAATTCCAAATCAGTCTGAACATAATTACAATAATTAAGATCAGAATATATATTTATACCTAATACTTTTACAATTTTATACTCTTAGTCTAGAATCTTTTGGTATATCTTTTTGAGTTAATACATAAATTCTGAACAAAATTCCAACAATTATAAAAATGAATAATATGAAGCATGTTATAAAAAAGAAGAGTAAACCAGCTAATCTATATAGATTATATGAATAATATATACGTTGATTTTTTAAGTAAATAAAACACAAACATCAATATTGCCAATATAATTATAAGTATTTCTATAATAGGAAATCTTTTTAAGCAAATGTAAATGTTTTTAAGAACTGTATCATCTGTTTGTTTCATGCTTAAAAGTTAAATCCTTAAGTTCAAATTATATAAATACCAAATCAGTGATGATCGCCAGTAAGCAATATATAGTACTACGATATGAGAATATGAGAAAAAGTAGTATGAAATTGGAAATATATCTGATTCAGAATCTAGAAAAGGATATCCCACAATTTCTATCGAATATGAGATAATTTCAAAAGTTAAATTAATAAGTAATAATTTCTATATTAAGAGCATGTCTTTTTGTTCTTCTGCCCTACTTAGTTGCAAGTTTTTGATATTTACTAAATTTTTATAAACTTTTATCATTAGTAATATAGAAATAACTAAAAAACATATATAAGCTACAAGTTCAGGAATATTGTTAACATCCATCAATAAAGGTAATTTATATGTATCGGATGATTTCTTTGACATTTTTATATATTTATTAATTTTAATTATGTTTAACAAATATTTATATAAATATCAAACCATATACATTTAAGTTGAAATCATGAACATTTTATCTGTTGTAGAAGTGGAATTTATAATAATAGGTAATATTATTAATTATTTTCTAATTAGAGATTTATATTTATATAATATAAGATAAGGAATAACATAAATATTTATTTGAATGCTTCCCATATACATCATTTAAAAAGATGTTAGATAAAATAATCAAGGCGTGATTATAATAAAGGAAAATAAAAATAAAAAAGGGATTAAATAAATGATTAGGGATTTGCGAAACTTGGTGATAGTATTTTGATAAGAAATGAAAAAAATATTTATTAAACAATCATAATCATTGGGAAGGATTCTAACATATGTAAGCGATCAATCAACAACTTTAAAAAATAATGTCATAAATTTTCAAGATAAATTATGTTTTATAGTAATTTTTCTTATATAATTCTTAAATTTTTATTTTAGAAAAGTATGGTATCATAAGTGGAATAAGATATAGATGATTTAAATTTAGTAAATAAAGATAATTAGGTTTGATTGATTGATAGTATATTAAATATATAGAAATTATTGTATATTATATAATCATGCATATCAATTCATGTCTTCATCCTAATTAAGGTTATTTTGTTGTTTTATCAATTTTTAATTCTGATAGCTTAGATTTAGATTTTTAAATTAATCAATTAATTATTTATCCATTTATTTTTATGTTTAAATTTAATTTTCCTCATTTATCTTGGAAATAGATTTTTCGAATTAAATATCAGTATTTGATGAATTCACTTGTGTTAATAGATTGTTATTTATTTCTAATTCTTCTTTGTTTAATTGAAAAGATAACTAAATAAATAAAAATAGAATACTTGACCTCTGAAAATTTTAAGGAAATCTTATTAAATGTTATTCTATTCATTTTTATATGCTATACTATCCTTACATTCATTGGAGAGATGGAAAATCAGTCTATCTGGTAGTATAATATGTTAAGGATTATAAGGACAAGATATATGTAAGTATTATTGCATGTAGCAGATGAGAATCTATTCACCAACTTTATAAAGAAATAATTAATGTGCTTTTTATAATTATTTATTATTTTTTTTTCAAAACGGATATAATGAGAACGAAACATCTAGTATTGTTAGGTGTTATTCTAATGCAAAGTAGCATTTCTTTAAAAACTATTTAGTTTGCTTTGTGTAGGCATTGCATTATGACTTGACTACACTTCTGGATTAGTAAAATGAATTAGATTGCGAAAATACAGATTTTGTGTAAATGTTATAAGATTTTGAATCATGGGGAGAGATTATTGAATTATTATAAGATGGATAATTAGATTCAGAAATGAAACAACTACAAGAACTTTCAGAATTTACAAATGAAATGATCTCAGGTAATTATAAGAAATATCTTAATAGCCAATCCAAATGATTTGATGGAAGATCCCTCTTATGATGAATAATTGGAGACTTTGGATGAATAATTATAAACAATCTAGAACCAGTATAATGGACCATAAAGAAAATTTTTATTTGAGTAAAGCAGATAAATCTCTGATCAAATCAGAAGAGTGATTGAATCAAGTATGATTATAATTTAATATCAATATAGGATCATTTGAGTAAAAGAGATCTCAATTGGCAATGTTATATGGATTAATTGAATACTTACTTAAACAAATTTCTAGAGTCTAAAATCAATATTAATAGACAACATAACCACAATAAAGATAATAATAACCTTAACCTTAACCATAACCATAACCATAATAAAGAATTAAGGAATAGAGAGAAAGAGTTATTGCTATAAAAGATAAATGTGGTGATAGATATCAATAAAGGAAAGTGTCAAAGTAAAGAGTAGTCCCTGGAAATTACAGATAAAATGATCATCCAGTACCTGAAGAAGTTGGTTGTGATATTCCATTCCCATAATAAAGATAACCTAAATGCGTTGTTGGATCAGATATAATATTAACAAGTTCAATCTCTGCTGATTAACCTACTGTTGAAACAGAAGTCAAGAAATTAAAGGATGTTAATGAATATGGTTTTGGTTTTTGGATGAGATTTTTAACATTGTATCCAGAATAATTGTAAAATGGTTTAACTGACTAATCTTACTTTGTTGCTAAATTAACAAAAAATTAATAGGATGGAGATGATTAAATTGGTGATAGATTGTTAACCATATTCTAAACTTAAGAATAATATATTTTTAGTGCTTAACATGATAAACCTGAAAGAAAAGAAGCTACAGCTGCTATTGTTTTTGGAGATATTGAAGCTGTTTGGACATATGTTTATTATAGTTATTCAGCCTATCAATAATAAGCTATTGGTTTCTATAAACAATCAAACAGTCAATTAGTTAAATAAGTTACATTACCAGCATCTTAAGGAACTCCTTAATATTTGAGATTTGTTTTGGGAGGGTAATATTTTGATTTCCCAGGTTTCAATGGACAAATCAGCAGACCAGTTTTAGCTATTGGTTTGGGAACCTATTTAATTAATGAATAAGAATTCTTGCAATTCGCTATTTCATGCAATCCTTAACCATATGTTGCACCATAAAAATTAGTTCCATATTAATTTGCTAGAGAATCCACATATGTAGATATTGAAGATAACAATGCACCACCTACATAAGAATTTATTGACTTATTATTACCTGATGAATATGCAGTATAAGGTTGGTTCAAATGGGAAGAAACAGATTTGTAAGAGAATTGGCATACCATGTTCAGATTATCCAATACACCATTAAGAAAATAATAAATTTTATTAGGTGAAAGAGTATTGGCTGCTTGGTTAGGTAAACCAAAAGGAGGATAAATCCACTTTTCAACATATTCTTATGCAAATATGAAAGGATCTGGTAATCCTAATGCTCATCAATATGTCCAACATTAAGATTAACATTTACATTGGCATTTTGTATACTTTGGTTACAGCAGAGATTAAAGAAAGGCATATGCTTAAGTCTTATTCAAACATGTTCATGCTAAATCTTTAAGTTTCGTTAATGTCAATCATTTTGTATCACCAAAGCATTATTTCTATTTTGGAAGAGAGAGACAATTCCCAGTTTACAGTGGATTTATGGCCTATCTTGAAGTATTCTTCTGTAAAGGATCTTATTTAACAAATGTTAAACCAGCTTTAAGACCAGTACCAACACCACCTCCCCCTAAAAAGAGATGTGTTGAAGGACCAAATAGAATTATTAATGCAAAATATGATAAAGGTCCAGTTGTTCATGTTGAATTACATAAAGATGATTTGAAAGACACTACTTAATATGGTTATGGATTCTGGTTCAGATATACTGGTTTGGCAGGTGGATAATATGAAAATGGTAGACCAGATTGGTCATTAATTGCCCGTCTTACAAATAAGAAGGAAACACCAAAAGATATAAGAGATGGTTTATTAACTATTTTCTAAGGAAAAGTTGGTTTCTTTTATATCACTGCTAATAATAAAGCTAAGAAATTAGTAGAATTAGCTTAACCATTTGGAGATATTGAAGGAGTTTGGATTTACACTTATTTCAGTTATACTAGATATAAGGCTATTGCATTCTATTAGATTGAGAATTAAGCTCCAATTACCTTAGAAGCAAAAGTTACACATCCAAGAATGGAATAATTATTATTCTAAGTTGGTGGAAAGGATCCATAAAATAGATATTATTCATTTAATGGTTAATTCCATAGACCAGTTTTAAGATTAGGATCAGGATCATTCTTTGATACATAAGAAGAATATAATCCATTCTGTTTAAGTTGCAATCC